AGAAGCAAACTGATTATATTAATGTTTGGAATATTTTCGGTGTCATATCTTTATTGCAGTGGTTTTGCTCAGTCCTGGTGTACAACAGGCTGTACACAAAATATGTTTGATTATGGAAAACATTTGGATTAAACACCTCACTGTCAGGACTTATACCCTTGTGCTAAACCTTTTCAATTTTGTACTTAACCCGGTTTTGAATTTCTAAATTACCTGAGTAAGCAATAGTTATGGTTCCCATGATTAGTGAATTTGACAGCCTTTTGCTAAGAACAATTATGGAGTCAGACGAGAAGCAGGATACTTTTCATGGAGTTTATCCCGAATTCGGTGCAATTTTCATGTCAAGCAGTGTGACGAAAAATGAGTGCTTTAGACGAAGACTGTTTGGCCTTCCATCTGCAAAAGGCCACTTTGTTGAGCAGGTTAAAAGAGGAATGATTTTGTTTCTGTTTGAATATGAGAGGAGAGAACTTCACGGTGTTTTTCAGGCATGCTCTGATGGGACAATGAACATTTCCCCTCGTGCATATAAGTCATCAGGAAATCAGTTTCCTGCACAGGTACCGTATGACTAATGTATGGTCATATCCTGTCATCATATATGCCCTTATATATTTTAGCTGAGAGAAGGCTTTTGTACTTCTGTTTACCTTCAGTTATCCAGTGTTTCCTTTATGTTTTGGTTTATGACAATCTGATTGATTCTTGTTATTCATTTATCCAGGTAAAAGTCAAACAAATATGGTGTTGTCATCCACTTCACGAATCTGAATTCAGTGATGCAATCAAAGAAAACTATTTTTCTAAATGGAAGTTCAATTTTGGTCTCTCCAAAGCTCAGGTATTCTTCTTTCCCATTCACTCAGACCCTTATGGGATTAAGAATCACCTTCTTGAAGTATTGTATCATGGATATTTGTAGGTTCGAAGGCTTCTAACATTGTTCAGTCCACGAAAGGTAGAAGATCAATGGCCTCCAAGAGAATTAGCGAGAAGTAAAGAATCAAGCCCAGTGTACGCTACTGCTAAAGTCAGGGAAGTCGATGAAGGCAGGTCTGTATTCAATGATAAGGTAAACAATGAGCTTGATGCTGACAACAATACAGAGCCAATGATGACTCAGTATATGGGGACCTCCTTTGAGAATGTTGGAAGAGAAGATGGTGGCAGGCTGGAAAATGATAAAGTAGACAATAAGGGTGGGGAGATCATGCAGAGTGCGAATTTTGGGCGCTTTCTGGATAAAGTTGGAATGTATGAGAGGGCACAGAATGAACTTAATGTGGATATTGAACATGTGGCATCCATGTCAACAGACTATCCAAAGTTGTGTAAATCTGGATTAGGTGATGGTGCCATGGTAATGCAGGGAACGGCAGCAAACATCAATTCCTTGGATGTTGAGATTGGGCCAGCTACATCAACAGAAAATCTTGGCTATCCTTTTGAAAAAGTTAGAATTGATGATGATTCCAGATTTTTAATGAGTGGTAAGTTGCAAATTGGAAATAGTGAAGGTAATGGTTTTGGGCCAGCTATTTCATCTGAGTACCCTGCTTTCTTTGAGTCTAGTCTGGATACACCTGTCTGTCCTGGCATGCCTGTTCAAGAAGCAGGTTCTTTGATTCAAGATCAAACTAGATCAACTTCCACTGTTAGCCATCAAATGGAGCTGCAAATCACTAGCCATTCTTATACAGCATCCTACAGAGATGCGATTGTCACCAGCACTCTTCCCTATGATCCTGATGCTCTTACTCTGAACCATCCATGCTCACCATTGACGGGGGTCAATCACAGTTCAAATTCTGTTCAAGATTGTTATGACCAAGCTGGCATTCCTTCCTTGAGAAATCAGGCATATTCTTTGTATACTGAGCCAAACACAACAAATCTAAGCTTAGGTGACACTTCTAAGTTTGATGTTCGTGTCCCATTCACAGCACCTGACCATTATGAGCTCTCATGTCACAGGAACATCATGCCTTTTCCAGGGACGGCATACTCTGAAGAAATGGCTTTAGAATCCACTGGAAAAAATAGTTATGGAGAACCATTTTTGAAGCCTTCTTTAGCACCTGAAACTTCATCAGAAATTGGAAGTAATCAGAGGGAAATCAAGAGCCCTTCATCTTATCCTTCCTTTGTGATTGATCATGGACATTCTGTTGCATCACAAGACAAAATTGACCATGAAATAGCACATAAGGTGAGATTCGAACCATTCACTTCTAATGTAGCTTCACCAGAGGAGCTTGAGTGCCAGTTTCAACGCCGCGTTCATCCTGGTGATCGGGGCAGTGTGAATAACAGAAGTGTGTTTTCTCGTTTGGGTTTGAATTCAGATAAGCATGTCAAAAAGAATAGTAAAGATGCTGCATATGAGGAAAATGATAAGGATTCATCAGTGGATGAAGTCATGTCAATGCTGAGCAAGAGTCTCTATGACTGGGTGAAGTCAAAAAAATCTAAACCACCTACTAGACGACATGATGTAGAGAAGTTGAAGAATAAAAAGCAGACCACAGTGCACTCTGAGTTGGATAGTAATTCTGAGTTGGATAGTAATTACTTGGAAATGATTTCAGATAAGTCAAACATGATTTCTGCTACACCCACTGAAGACAAAGATGATCAAAGGAGTGAAGAGATACCATTTGTGGATTTTAAGCGGCGGAGCAAATTGCGGAAATTTAATGGTGATGACAAAGCTAGAGCGAATGATGAAAGTGCAGGAAGTGACGGAGTCTTGGGTGGGCAGCACAAGAGAAGGAAGCTGATCAGGCCGAACTTCAGTGACAACGAGCCACTTGATGATAAAAGGAAAATTGCAAACACTTCTCTGATTGTACAAGTATCGTCAAAAGAGCCTCTTCATGATGTTGGCAGCCCAATTGCTAGCCTTGCAACTAATCCTAACATTCAGAATGACCTTGAGTATAAGGATCCTCTTTTAAACAGATTGCCTCAAGATTGTTATGAGAACAGTCAGTTCACTGTGAAGGAGTCAGCCCTGCAAATACCTAAACCAAATTCTGGAACAGCAAATGAATTTTCTGTATTTGAATGCAGCAGAGGCAATGAACTGGAGTTGCTTCCAAGAGTCGAACTTTGTCTAAACAATGCTGATCTTAGTATCGGTAATGTAGGCAGCTCAAGGAATCTGCACTCTGAGTTGGAAAGAGTAGCCAAAGAAGTTGCAATTTGTGTAGATGCTGGTATAGGTAATAACCACCACGGATCCAATGATATACAGTCTGACGCATCTCTTAACACTGATGGTTGCTTCGACAAACAAGAACCATCTGAAGAGCACAGATCCAGTAAACTGTCTGAGGCATCTTTTGGCACTGCCGGTCGCCTCAACAAGCCAAAACCTTCTCAGGAAGTTCGGGACCTGAATGTCCAATTTGGAGAGAGACTTTTTATACTTAGTAATGGTCTCAAAAACTTTGAACGTGATGCTTCTAAGCATCTGGGTGAAAAGAGGGATGTTCTTCCAATCAGCAAGGGTATTGTTTGCAAAAGTTCTGACATTGGTACTTCTGAGAATGTGGAAGAGAGGAATGATGTTCTTCCAAGCAGTCGTAGAGTCAGAAAAGGCGAACTCAGGAGAGCCTACGACCGCTCTGAAACTGATACTTCTAAGCATGTGGTCGATAGAAAGGATGTTCTTCCAGTCAGCGGCTGTAGCAAAAGCTCTGACACTGATACCTCTGAGCCTGTGGAAGATAGGAAGGATGTTATTCAAAGCAGTGACGGAGTCAGAAAATGTGAACTCAAGACAACCTACAACCGCTTTGAAATTGATACTTCTAAGCATGTGAGCAGTCAGAAAGATGCTCTTCCAATCAACGGTGGTAATGTTTGCAAAAGCTCTGACATTGGTACCGCTTTGAATGTGGAAGACAGGGAGGGTGCTCTTCAAAGCAGTGGCGGAATTAGAAACTCTGAACTTAAGACAGCCCACAATCCAAGTACAAGATTAACTCGTGATTTTGAGTTTGATGATGCTTCTGCAAGTGTTGACAGTGAAAGAGAAAACAAGAGGCTGTGGAGTATTTTAACCTCCAGGTTGAATAATCTGAAGAATGCTCAACAACAGTGACAAGCTCCTGGATTTTGGTCGATGCCATTTTTGCGTAGGCTCTCTTATCTTGGTTATGAATTCAAGTACTTTTTTTTGGATATGTTGACTGGAATTTTAACTTTCAAGTAGTCGTCGGGTGTGTCTGCTGGTTTTGTGGGTGATGATGACTTCAAAATGAACGTTGTCAATCCGCTAGTTTTGAGGGCTCACCTCAATCTTGCGCTTTGGCAGGAACAACGAAATTCAATCTCGATTTTATTAATGAATATATATATATATATATATATATATAATGCTTATGGTGCCGTACATTGTTTGTACTAATATGACTGCTCTTATACCCACAGTTTCAATTTTGAGAACGGTCCATCTCCATGTATGTTTTTACTTGTTGCATAAGTTTTCAAGCGTAGGAAGACTTTAAACTGGTTGAAGAAAAAAAGAAAGGAATGCTCGGAATTAGAAAGGTGCGCACAGAACCACCATAATTGTTCAAACTGTTCAAATGAAATCAATCCAAGCGATTTAGGTTCGATTTTTACATTAAAAAAATGGAATCTTAGATTGAACCAAATCAGAGTGCAATTAGATTAGTTTGGTTTGGTTTGAGACATGGCTTTTCTCTTGGTTACTATGTTTCATCTACAATGTTGATATCTATTTCTTCATCTTCAATAGTAAAGAGTTTTGTCAATTATTGTTAAATTTGCATTATTAAATGTTTGCATAATTGTTTGGGTAGGGAAATGACCTAACCAAATCGGCGACATTAATTTGATTCGATTGTGCTACTAGTTTGAGGTAAAAAAAAAATTAAAAAATAAAAACCTAACCACAACAAGATAAATAAAAAATGGGAGATCGTGTTTTTATTTTGGCGGAAAAGAGTAGGAACATCAAAAAGTGAGATTTTTGAACAATTTCCTTTATTGTATTACTGAAAAAGACTGCAATTGTGAAAGCGGGCAGTTATTTGCTCTCTCTGTCTCTCACCTGAATCTCTCTCTCTCTCTCTCTTTCTCTCTCTCTCTCCTC